GGAGTATACGAGACAGTTTCATTTAGAAAGTCCTCCATGAAGGCACTGTTTCCCTTAGTCGTGTAGTCCGCCCTTGCTTTCCCAATACTGATTAAATGAAATCTTGACTACAGTTTCTTAAAGCAAGCAAATCTTTGTAGATATATAGAAGAGATTATTTACGAATTTTTAGCAATTTATTTCTCTTTCATATTCACTAAATAATCAATTCTCTAACGGAACTGATATATGATAATGTATTTTGTTCACATATAGAGAAGCGCTTAAAGACAAACCTCAAATAAACATTTAAAAATACTACAATAATTGTAAAACGTAATTTGTATTTCTTACCATCCTTTTGAGTTGTAGAACCTTCAATGAGTCGGGAGATATGGGATACTTCTTCTGAAAGAGCAAACATTTTATTAAAAAAGTAATATAAATGTATTTAGACACAAAACTTGAATTATTTGCAGAAAAAAATCAAATGCATAAAGGAAATATCAGTCAAAAATCAAAGATTTATTTTTTGCTCTTTCTGCCCTAATATTTCATGATTTCTCAATTAAAATTAGTACTTTAAAATTTCCTGATTACTACAAATTTATTGACATACACTTAGGATCACGCTCAGCACGTCACATATTTTTGCAGCACTGACATTTAATCCATGTACAGAGTCTTCAGAATTGTCAGTCTAGCTCAGTAAAGGAGATCCGTCGTCATTCTGATGCACGTATTCTGATGCACTACGCAATTGCGTAGCTTCATTTGAACAATTAGTGTAACTGTCAAATAACCATTTCTTATAAATATCCGCAATTAAAACGATTTTCAGTTTTTCGTGTTCTTCGTAGTAACTACGTTTGCGCTTTCATATTTCACATTTCACGAAAGATAGGTATTTCAAAAGGTGCCAGATTGGTTATGTTCTGCCACCTTTTAAAAGCTGCCTCCATCAGTTGAGCTACACTCTTCATGCTATATGCATATCTACCAGCCGATACGATTTTCGGTAAAGAATAAAAAATTAATAACATAGCTTTCAATAAGATTATATAGATATTTCTATATAGATACTTCTATATATCTACATTAGTCGATATTTCATCTTTAACGTTTCGAGATTTGTGTTTTTCTTAGGGGCAGATTACGTTTCGTAAATCTTTAGATTAACGGTTTGCACATTTTGGAAAATATGCATATTTTGATTTATGCGTTTTAAAACGCTGGAGAGGAGAACTTACCTTTCAGTAATATTTAAAAGTCAATGTCCCATGTGTAATAGTTTGACTATTTTCTTTCTGGCTTTTCACATACCTTTTATAGGTAAATTGCTAAATTTTAAAGCAAGTATTTAAAACTTTGAACACAGTTACAGAACAAAGGACTTGCATATGGTTTTAAATACACACATGCCTAATCTAATTTCATATATTCAGAGGAGGACTCGATCCCCACTTGATGAATCCCCAGATGTGACAACATTCGCCATTTGTGCGAAGAGGTAACCAAAGTAATACATCATATACATTTAACGAAAATATGCACGCTATTTAAGTAATCTAAAAAAATCTGTTAAACATGTTCGCTTCTTACCATCAAGATTTACCGTTAAAGAAAGCCATTTCTACAGCAAAATAACAAGAGGAATACTTGCGAGTTTATAAAAAATTTAATTAACATATGCAATCATGTTTAATCAAAAAATTTCTATTTTTAAAGAAGAATTTTAAAAAAATTCCCAGATATTGCAAACCATGGATATGGAAAAAGTATTTTGGAAACTAGAAACTAACCTGGGAATTTAAATGTCATCTTTTTGCCAGGTATGAATGTTGACTCCTTTACATGAGTGTGTTGCCCATGAAGAATTTCATCTTAAAAAAGGAAGAAAATTTTTCATGGCATTAGGAAAAGCAATGAGCAAATTTCAAATTATCGTATCAAGATATTATTCTGAGGTGTTAAAAGTTGGAATTATTTTAATCAACGAAAATAGAACCAAAATTAATTTAAAGATCTGTAAATCAGATAATGTCATATCCTTTTAACTACACCTGTAAAATATTCGTCACACATACACCCTTATTTACGCTTTCATCTCTAAGATTTTTAAGGAAAAAAAAAATAATTTTCACAAGCAATTTGCGCAATGGCTCCATAGAAAGAAAAAATTATGAAAATTTATTATTTAAAATAAAATTTAAATTTTCGGCAACGTTTCTACACAGTAAGCTGAAGATTTCTTAATACATAGTATGCTTTATTTATTATGGGCCTATTTCCAAGGCTCCATTTTGTAGAATAATTCTGAAAACAACAGTTACATTCATGATTTAAGACAGAAAAACAAACTGCAATGTAGATTGTAATGGAATATGAGAATGAAAGTTTAATGTATTTAGTATTATAGTATTATGCAATGCTTTTAGCCAAATTCAATTGAAAATAAAATAAACAATTTTTTTTTAATACTAGACTGAATGTTGCGGAAATGCGTTTTACTATTACTGAAGTTTGGTTGATGTTAGTGAAATGCAAGATTTATCGACCACATGTCTTCTACATATTTTGAGCAAAATCTAGAATTTTTCAGAACGTTTCGAAGGTGCATATTACAGTATTACATAATTTGGTACCTTAAATTGGCAGTGATACTAGTTATCCTTGCAACCACTTTTAAAAAATTTTGTCCCAAAATAAAGAAACAGTCAATTTGACTTTTTTCGCAGAGATCTGTAATTCATTTTTCAACTTTTACGTTATATTTACTTGCATTAAACACAACTCAGAAGCCTAAGTACGGTATTTAATTGCACCCAGTCATTTTTAAATTATGGAAAAAAATTTTGAATTTCTCAAAAGGAATGAAATAACTCTCTTAATCATCATGTGCGACGTAGGAGATAGATTGAAAAACATATGCTTGTGAAGGAACTTAATAATATATACACGAGTATGTACCCTTTGCAGAAACGAGAGGACCATTCTAATGGATCGATCATTGAAATTCAAATGCAATTTTTATGTCTCGATTGCGCGACTTAGGATTAGGATTCATATGCAGCATTGCGCTAACATTATTTTTTTTGACATAAAATCAGATATTTTCTAAAATAACATGTCGAATTTTTTCACATTTCAAATCTAAGCCTAAAATCGAGCTAATGTACGCTCAAAAAAATTCCTATAAATTTGCGCATGGAAGTGGAACTTCATGCACTAGAGTATGGCAGCTGCTCGATATTCCGATTTCTGTATATTCTGTATCTCACAATTAAGTTAAATTTTAATCATTTGATCTTTCTCTCATTATTTATTGAAACAGTAAGTAGGATTCTACAGACAGCCTTTTTTTCATGATCCAGATATCGAATCGCCAAGAGAATACTAGCCAGTTTCACTTGGAAAGATCCTCTACGAAGGCACTTTTTCAGTTAGGTCGTATAATCCAACCTTGCTGGCGCAATCCTGATTAAACAAAACATTTTGACTACAGTTTATTAACGCTAATTGGGAGGAAAATATTTGTAGGTATATTGAAGAAATTATTTACGAATTTTCAGCAATTTATTTCTCTTTCATATTCACTAGATAATACGTTCATAAAAATTCAGACAAATTCCGGCATAGAAGGGAAACCTTATGCACTAGAGCAGCAGTTCTCAACCTTTTGACTAACGCGTACCATCTAAACAAAAATTGAAAACCTTTAGTGCCACCACTACAAAGTAGTACTACTACCACCACTCCTGAACAAACCCCAGATCCCATAAATTTACATTTGTTAGCTAAGAACCTCAATCAGAATTCAAGAATTTTAATTTTTGAATTTAATAATTAAAAACAGTTTGCTTCTTTGCGTACCACCTATTTTCTTGCTTACCACCAGTGGTACGCTTACCATCGGTTGAGAACTTCTGCACTACAGTACAACAGCTGCTATTTCTGCCAAAGGCAGATGCTCGGAGTATAGATATCTGTATACTCTGTATCTGAAAATTACGTGAAATTTTAATCATTTAATCTTTCTATCATAATTTATTGAAACAGTTGTAAGGTTTTACTTTATTCTAACCAGTTATATTTAGTTTGACTTTCCTTTTCCTCCTGATTTCAGTTTCCTACCGAAATGTAAATTTTGTATGAGGTAGATGTAAATTTTAAACGTGTTTCAGAAGCAGTATTTAAGCTGCGTTGGAAGAGTTCAGAAGAGTAGTATCGGACTTAGTTCCGATATTTATGCTACGAGTTTAAGATTAGCTCTCTAGTTGTTCGACACCTTTCAGTTTATACTGATATTTCTCGGATCGGCTTTGCTGTGTGCAGTCGATTTACCGTTAGTTAAGCTAAGGAGCCACTCATTAGATTTCTTAATTTACTACTGAATTGTTACATTCTAATTTTCAATTACGTAGCCACAAGTGGTGGTGATTCGTGAGCACGAAGTGCGTGCATTTGTTTTAATTTAGATTTAAATAAAAAGGTTATTTAAACCTTTCATCTGCAGTATTTATTCTTAAAGACATAGCGAGAGATCGCTACTTAGTGTTCGACTTGGGGTTAACAATGTATGCTCCCAAGGAATACACACATACTATATAGAGTAAGTAGGATTCTGCAGGCAACTTTCTTTCATGACCCAGATATCGAATAGCCAGGAGCATACGAGACAGTTCATTTAGAAAGTCCTCCACGAAGGCACCGTTTCCCTTTGTCTTATAGTCCGCTCTAGCTTTCGCAATACTGATTAAATGAAACCTTTTGCCTAAGGTTTCTTAAAGTAAATTGGTAGAAAATCTTTGTAGATATATAGAAGAAATTATTTACGAATTTTTAGCAATTTATTTCTCTTTCATATTCACTAAATAATCAGTTCTCTAACGGAACTGATATATGATAATGTATTTTGTTCACATATAGAGAAGTGCTTAAAGACAAACCTCAGATAAACATTTAAAAATACTGCAATAATTTTAAAACGTAATTTGTATTTCTTACCATCCTTTTGAGTTGTAGAACCTTCAATGAGTCGGGAGATATGGGACACTTCTTCTGAAAGAGCGAACATTTTATTAAAAAAGTAACATAAATGTGTTTAGGAACAAAACTTTAATTATTTGCAGAAAAAAATCAAATGCCTAAAGGAAATATCAGTCAAAATCAAAGATTTACTTTTTGCTCTTCCAGCTCTAATATTTCATGATTTCTCAATTAAAATTAGTACTTTAAAATTTCCTGATCACTACAAATTTATTGACATACACTTAGGATCACGCTCAGCACGTCACATATTTTTGCAGTACTGACATTTAATTCATGTACAGAGTCTTCAGAATTGTCAATCTACCTCAGTAAAGGAGATCCGTCGTCATTGTGATGCACGTATTGCAATTGCGTAGCTTCATTTGAACAATTAGTGTAACTGTCAAATAACCATTTCTTGTAAATAACCGCAATTAAAACGATTTTCCGTTTTTCATGTTCTTCGTAGTAACGACGTTTGCGCTTTCATATTTCACATTTCACGAAAGATAGGTATTTCAAAAGTTGCCAGATTGGTTATGTTCTGCCACCTTTTAAAAGCTGCCTCCATCAGTTGAGCTACACTCTTCCTGTTATATGCATATCTACCAGCCGATACGATTTTCGGTAAAAAATAATAAATTAATAACATGGCTTTCAATAAGATGACGACATTAGTCGATAGTTCATCTTTAACGTTTCGAGATTTGTGTTTTTCTTAGGGGCAGATTACGTTTCGTAAAACTTTAGATTAACGGTATGCGCATGATTTGATTCATGTGTTTAAACATTTGTTTGAAAAAAACTGGAATGGAGTACTTATTTTTACCTTTCAGAAATATTAAAAGTCAATGTCCCATGCGGAATAGTTTGAATAATTTCCTCCCAGCTCTACACATACCTTTTACAAGTAATTTGCTAAATTTTAAAGCAAGTCTTTAAAACTTTTAATACAATTACAGAACAAAGGATTTAAGTTATATTTATTAAGTTACAGAACAAAGGACTTGCACATGCCTTTAAATCAACACATGTGCAATTTACTTCTTTATATTTAGAAGAGGACTCGGTCCCCGCTTAATGAAACCCCAGAGGTGACAACATTCGCCTTTAATTATGGAAACAAGTAATCAAAGTAATACAGCACATACATTAAACGAAAATATGCATCCCGGTTAAGTAATCTAAAGAGCATGTTAAAAATGTGTTTATCTTACCAGCAAGATTTACTTTTAAAGAATAAATTTCTACAGCAAAATAACAAGTGGAATACTCGAGAGTTTACAAAAATTTTACTTAACATGTGCAATCATGTTTAATCAAAAAATTTCTATTTTTAAAGCAGAACTTAAAAAAATTCTTCCTTTAACACAAATATTTTTAAAGCAGAACTTAAAAAACCATATTGCAAAATATGAACTAGGAAAAAGGATTTGGAAAACTAGAAACTAACCTGGGAATTTAAGTGTCATCTCTTTCCCAGGTATGAATGTTGACTCCTTTACATGAGCGAGTTGCTCATGAAGAATTTCATCTTGAAAAGGGAAGAAAATTTTTCATGTCATCAGAGAAAGCAATGAGAAAATTTTAAATATTTGTATCAAAATATTATTCTGAGGGGTTAAAAGTTGAAATTATTTTAATCAGCGAAAATAGAACCAAAAGTAATTTAAAGATCTGCAAATCAGATAATGGCATATCCTTTTAACTACACCTGTAAAAAATATTCGTCACACTTACACCCTTATTTACGCTTTCATCTCCATGATTTTTCAGGAAATGAAATAATTTTCGAAAGTAATTTGCGCAATGGCTCCATAGAAAGAAAACAATTATGAAAATTTATCATTTAAAATAAAATTTAAATTTTCGGCAACGTTTCTACACAGTAAGCTGAAGATTTCTTAATACATAGTATGCTTATATTTATTATGGGCCTATTTCCAAGGCTCCATTTTGTAGAATAATTCTGAAAACAACAGTTACATTCATGATTTAAGACAGAAAAACAAACTGCAATGTAGATTGTAATGGAATATGAGAATGAAAGTTTAATGTATTTAGTATTATATAGTATTATGCAATGCTTTTAGCCAAATTCAATTGAAAATAAAATAAACAATTTTTTTTTAATACTAGACTGAATGTTGCGGAAATGCGTTTTACTATTACTGAAGTTTGGTTGATGTTAGTGAAATGCAAGATTTATCGACCACATGTCTTCTACATATTTTGAGCAAAATCTAGAATTTTTCAGAACGTTTCGAAGGTGCATATTACAGTATTACATAATTTGGTACCTTAAATTGCAGTGATACTAGTTATCCTTGCAACCACTTTTAAAAAATTTTGTCCCAAAATAAAGAAACAGTCAATTTGACTTTTTTCGCAGAGATCTGTAATTCATTTTTCAACTTTTACGTTTATATTTACTTGCATTAAACACAACTCAGAAGCCTAAGTACGGTATTTAATTGCACCCAGTCATTTTTAAATTATGGAAAAAAATTTTGAATTTCTCAAAGGAATGAAATAACTCTCTTAATCATCATGTGCGACGTAGGAGATAGATTGAAAAACATATGCTTGTGAAGGAACTTAATAATATATACACGAGTATGTACCCTTTGCAGAAACGAGAGGACCATTCTAATGGATCGATCATTGAAATTCAAATGCAATTTTTATGTCTCGATTGCGCGACTTAGGATTAGGATTCATATGCAGCATTGCGCTAACATATATTTTTTGACATAAAATCAGATATTTTCTAAAATAACATGTCGAATTTTTTCACATTTCAAATCTAAGCCTAAAATCGAGCTAATGTACGCTCAAAAAAATTCCTATAAATTCGCGCATGGAAGTGGAACTTCATGCACTAGAGTATGGCAGCTGCTCGATATTCCGATTTCTGTATATTCTGTATCTCACAATTAAGTTAAATTTTAATCATTTGATCTTTCTCTCATAATTTATTGAAACAGTAAGTAGGATTCTACAGACAGCCTTTTTTTCATGATCCAGATATCGAATCGCCAAGAGAATACTAGCCAGTTTCACTTGGAAAGATCCTCTACGAAGGCACTTTTTCCGTTAGGTCGTATAATCCAACCTTGCTGGCGCAATCCTGATTAAACAAAACATTTTGACTACAGTTTATTAAAGCTAATTGGGAGGAAAATATTTGTAGGCATATTGAAGAAATTATTTACGAATTTTCAGCAATTTATTTCTCTTTCATATTCACTAGATAATACGTTCATAAAAATTCAGACAAATTCCGGCATAGAAGGGAAACCTTATGCACTAGAGCAGCAGTTCTCAACCTTTTGACTAACGCGTACCATCTAAACAAAAATTGAAAACCTTTAGTGCCACCACTACAAAGTAGTACTACTACCACCACTCCTGAACAAACCCCAGATCCCATAAATTTACATTTGTTAGCTAAGAACCTCAATCAGAATTCAAGAATTTTAATTTTTGAATTTAATAATTAAAAACAGTTTGCTTCTTTGCGTACCACCTATTTTCTTGCTTACCACCAGTGGTACGCTTACCATCGGTTGAGAACTTCTGCACTACAGTACAACAGCTGCTATTTCTGCCAAAGGCAGATGCTCGGAGTACAGATATCTGTATACTCTGTATCTGAAAATTACGTGAAATTTTAATCATTTAATCTTTCTATCATAATTTATTGAAACAGTTGTAAGGTTTTACTTTATTCTAACCAGTTATATTTAGTTTGACTTTCCTTTTCCTCCTGATTTCAGTTTCCTACCGAAATGTAAATTTTGTATGAGGTAGATGTAAATTTTAAACGTGTTTCAGAAGCAGTATTTAAGCTGCGTTGGAAGAGTTCAGAAGAGTAGTATCGGACTTAGTTCCGATATTTATGCTACGAGTTTAAGATTAGCTCTCTAGTTGTTCGACACCTTTCAGTTTATACTGATATTTCTCGGATCGGCTTTGCTGTGTGCAGTCGATTTACCGTTAGTTAAGCTAAGGAGCCACTCATTAGATTTCTTAATTTACTACTGAATTGTTACATTCTAATTTTCAATTACGTAGCCACAAGTGGTGGTGATTCGTGAGCACGAAGTGCGTGCATTTGTTTTAATTTAGATTTAAATAAAAAGGTTATTTAAACCTTTCATCTGCAGTATTTATTCTTAAAGACATAGCGAGAGATCGCTACTTAGTGTTCGACTTGGGGTTAACAATGTATGCTCCCAAGGAATACACACATACTATATAGAGTAAGTAGGATTCTGCAGGCAACTTTCTTTCATGACCCAGATATCGAATAGCCAGGAGCATACGAGACAGTTCATTTAGAAAGTCCTCCACGAAGGCACCGTTTCCCTTTGTCTTATAGTCCGCTCTAGCTTTCGCAATACTGATTAAATGAAACCTTTTGCCTAAGGTTTCTCAAAGTAAATTGGTAGAAAATCTTTGTAGATATATAGAAGAAATTATTTACGAATTTTTAGCAATTTATTTCTCTTTCATATTCACTAAATAATCAGTTCTCTAACGGAACTGATATATGATAATGTATTTTGTTCACATATAGAGAAGTGCTTAAAGACAAACCTCAGATAAACATTTAAAAATACTGCAATAATTTTAAAAACGTAATTTGTATTTCTTACCATCCTTTTGAGTTGTAGAAACCTTCAATGAGTCGGGAGATATGGGACACTTCTTCTGAAAGAGCGAAACATTTTATTAAAAAAGTAACATAAATGTGTTTTAGGAACGAAACTTTAATTATTTGCAGAAAAAAAATCAAATGCCTAAAGGAAATATCAGTCAAAATCAAAGATTTACTTTTTGCTCTTCCAGCTCTAATATTTCATGATTTCTCAATTAAAATTAGTACTTTAAAATTTCCTGATCATTACAAATTTATTGACATACACTTAGGATCACGCTCAGCATGTCACATATTTTTGCAGTACTGACATTTAATTCATGTACAGAGTCTTCAGAATTGTCAATCTAGCTCAGTAAAGGAGATCCGTCGTCATTCTGATGCACGTATTGCAATTGCGTAGCTTCATTTGAACAATTAGTGTAACTGTCAAATAACCATTTCTTGTAAATAACCGCAATTAAAACGATTTTCCGTTTTTCATGTTCTTCGTAGTAACGACGTTTGCGCTTTCATATTTCACATTTCACGAAAGATAGGTATTTCAAAAGTTGCCAGATTGGTTATGTTCTGCCACCTTTTAAAAGCTGCCTCCATCAGTTGAGCTACACTCTTCCTGTTATATGCATATCTACCAGCCGATACGATTTTCGGTAAAAAATAATAAATTAATAACATGGCTTTCAATAAGATGACGACATTAGTCGATAGTTCATCTTTAACGTTTCGAGATTTGTGTTTTTCTTAGGGGCAGATTACGTTTCGTAAAACTTTAGATTAACGGTATGCGCATGATTTGATTCATGTGTTTAAACATTTGTTTGAAAAAAACTGGAATGGAGTACTTATTTACCTTTCAGAAATATTTAAAAGTCAATGTCCCATGCGGAATAGTTTGAATAATTTCCTCCCAGCTCTACACATACCTTTTACAAGTAATTTGCTAAATTTTAAAGCAAGTCTTTAAAACTTTTAATACAATTACAGAACAAAGGATTTAAGTTATATTTATTAAGTTACAGAACAAAGGACTTGCACATGCCTTTAAATCAACACATGTGCAATTTACTTCTTTATATTTAGAAGAGGACTCGGTCCCCGCTTAATGAAACCCCAGAGGTGACAACATTCGCCTTTAATTATGGAAACAAGTAATCAAAGTAATACAGCACATACATTAAACGAAAATATGCATCCCGGTTAAGTAATCTAAAGAGCATTTTAAAAATGTGTTTATCTTACCAGCAAGATTTACTTTTAAAGAATAAAATTTCTACAGCAAAATAACAAGTGGAATACTCGAGAGTTTACAAAAATTTTACTTAACATGTGCAATCATGTTTAATCAAAAAATTTCTATTTTTAAAGCAGAACTTAAAAAAATTTCTTGCTTTAACACAAATATTTTTAAAGCAGAACTTAAAAAACCATATTGCAAAATATGAACTAGGAAAAAGGATTTGGAAAACTAGAAACTAACCTGGGAATTTAAGTGTCATCTCTTTCCCAGGTATGAATGTTGACTCCTTTACATGAGCGAGTTGCTCATGAAGAATTTCATCTTGAAAAGGGAAGAAAATTTTTCATGTCATCAGAGAAAGCAATGAGAAAATTTTAAATATTTGTATCAAAATATTATTCTGAGGGGTTAAAAGTTGAAATTATTTTAATCAGCGAAAATAGAACCAAAAGTAATTTAAAGATCTGCAAATCAGATAATGGCATATCCTTTTAACTACACCTGTAAAATATTCGTCACACTTACACCCTTATTTACGCTTTCATCTCCATGATTTTTCAGGAAATGAAATAATTTTCGAAAGTAATTTGCGCAATGGCTCCATAGAAAGAAACAATTATGAAAATTTATCATTTAAAATAAAATTTAAATTTTCGGCAACGTTTCTACACAGTAAGCTGAAGATTTCTTAATACATAGTATGCTTTATTTATTATGGGCCTATTTCCAAGGCTCCATTTTGTAGAATAATTCTGAAAACAACAGTTACATTCATGATTTAAGACAGAAAAACAAACTGCAATGTAGATTGTAATGGAATATGAGAATGAAAGTTTAATGTATTTAGTATTATAGTATTATGCAATGCTTTTAGCCAAATTCAATTGAAAATAAAATAAACAATTTTTTTTTAATACTAGACTGAATGTTGCGGAAATGCGTTTTACTATTACTGAAGTTTGGTTGATGTTAGTGAAATGCAAGATTTATCGACCACATGTCTTCTACATATTTTGAGCAAAATCTAGAATTTTTCAGAACGTTTCGAAGGGGCATATTACAGTATTACATAATTTGGTACCTTAAATTGCAGTGATACTAGTTATCCTTGCAACCACTTTTAATAAATTTTGTCCCAAAATAAAGAAACAGTCAATTTGACTTTTTTCGCAGAGATCTGTAATTCATTTTTCAACTTTTACGTTTATATTTACTTGCATTAAACACAACTCAGAAGCCTAAGTACGGTATTTAATTGCACCCAGTCATTTTTAAATTATGGAAAAAAATTTTGAATTTCTCAAAGGAATGAAATAACTCTCTTAATCATCATGTGCGACGTAGGAGATAGATTGAAAAACATATGCTTGTGTGTGAAAAACATAAACTTAATAATATATACACGAGTATGTACCCTTTGCAGAAACGAGAGGACCGTTCTAATGGATCGATCGTTGAAATTCAAATGCAATTTTTATGTCTCGATTGCGCGACTTAGATTATATATTGGATTCATATGAAGCATTGCGCTAACATATATTTTTTGACATAAAATCCGATTTTTTTGTAAACTAACATGTCGATTTTTTCACATTTCAAATCTAAGCCTAAAATTGAGCTAATGTACGCTCAAAAAAATTCCTATAAGTTCTGGCATAGAAGTGAAACCTCATGCACTAGAGTATGGCAGCTGCTCGAAATTCTGATTTCTGTATATTCTGTATCTCACAATTAAATGAAATTTTAATCATTTGATCTTTCTGTCATAATTTATTGAAACAGTAAGTAGGATTCTACAGGCAGCCTTTTTTCATGATCCAGATATCGAATCGCCAGCAGAATACGAGCCAGTTTCACTTAGAGAGGTCCTCCACGAAGGCACTTTTTCCGTTAGTCGTATAATCCGATCTTACGTTCGCAATCCAGATTAAACAAAACATTTTGACTACAGTTTATTAAAGCTAATTGGAAGGAAAATCTTTGTAGGTACATGGAAGAAATTATTTACGAATTTTTAGTCATGTATTTCTCTTTCATATTCACTAGATAATCCTCTGATGTAACTGACATGTGTTAATGTATTTTTTCAGATATAGAGAAGTGCTTAAAGATAAACATCAAATAATCATTTAAAAATACTGTAATAGTTCTAAAAGGTAATTTAAGTTTCTTACCATAGTTTTGAATTGTAGAACCTTCAGGGAGTAGTGACATGTAAGGCATTTCGTCTAAAAAAGGGAACATTTATTAAATCAGTAATTTACATATTGGTTAGGCGCAAAGCCTGAATTTAAAAGCTGATACTAACGCAAATGTATTGCTGAAAACAAACAAACGTATTAAAGAAATATCATTCAAAGTCAGAAATTTGTTCTTCTCTTCCTGCACAAATTTTTCATGATTTCTCAGCTAAAATCCGTACTCTAAAATTTCCTGATCACTAGGAATTTATTGGTATACACTTATCCAGGACATATGCTGATGCACCTCAGGTCCACGGTCAAGAAAGAAGATATATATTGGCACTGCAGGCCTTACCCCATTACGGTTGTTACGCTACTGAGTTTAGTTTAGTGTTTAGTTTATTTAAAATTTTAAAGTTACAGAACAAAGGACTTATATACGCATTTAAATCAACACATGTTTAATTCCTTATATCCAGAAGAGGACTCTGTCCCTACTTAATGAACCCCCTGACAATCGCCGTTACTGTGCAGACTGTTAACTAAAGTAATATATCACATACATTAGACGTAAATATACACCCAGGGTACATAACGTACAAAGTACGTTAAAAATTTTCGCAACAAATTTTCTACATCAAAATAACAAGTGGAATACTTGCGAGTTTATAAAACTTTTACTTAACATGTTCAATCATGTTTAATCAACAAATTCCTATATTTAAAGCAGAACTTAAAAAAAATATCGCAGATATTACAAAATATGAACTAAGAAAAAGGATTTTAAAAAGTAGAAACTAACCTGGAAATTTAACTGTTATCTCTTTGCCAGGTATGAACGTTTCATCCAGTTGAGCGTGTTGCCCACGAGGACTTTCAACTTGAAAAGAGAGGAAAAGTTTCTCATGAAATCAGAAAAATGAACCAGGATGTTTTACGTTATTTATATTAAGATAGTAATCCGAGTGGTTAAAAGCTGTATTTTTTTAACCAATAAAAAGAGAATTAAAAGTACTTTTAACATCGTTAAGTCAAATAATGGCATATTCTTTTAACTACACCTGCAAAATATTCACTCCATTTATACCCTTATTTAAGTTTTCATCTCTATGATTTTTAATAAAAATAAATAATTTTGCACAAGTAATCCATGAAATGGCTGCAGACAATGCAAAAATTATGAAAATTTAATATTTAAAATAAAATTTTAATTTTCGGCATACCTTTGCACATTCGTTCTTATTACTTCGAATACCTTTATTCATTATCTGTATATTTTTAAGACCCGATTATATACAATAATTTTGAAAAGAATAGTTACTTTCATAATTTAAGATAGAAAAATAAAGAGGAAGGTAGCTTGTAGTGGAATATACAAACGAAAGATTAATGTATTTAGCTGTATATCACGTATTGCTTTTAGACAAATTCAGATGAAACATATACTACATAATCTTTTAAATGCTAGTATGAATGCTGAGGAAATGCATTTACTATTACTGAAGTCTGGTTGAAATTTTTAAAATGCAAGATTTATCTACCATATGTCTTTTATATATTTTGAGCAATACCTTTTTTTTTTTTTTTTTTCAGAAAGCTTGGAATTGCAATGATAATTGTTATTCTTGCTATAACTTTTAACTAATTTTGTCGAAAAATGAAGAACCAGTCAATCTGTCTCTTGTCTCAGAGATTTGTAATTGCCTTTTGAACTTTTAATGTTGTATTTCATTATATCTGTACAATCCAGATGCCGAAGTTAGATATCTGATTGCATTGAGCCAATTTTAGACTAAGGAATGAACTAACTTTTTAATTTCACAAAAATATGACACAACTGTCTTAACCATCACGTACGAAGTAGTTAATAGATTGAAAATGGTATGAACTAACTTAATAATGCATACACGACTATGCACACTTTGCAGAAACAAGAGGTCGGTTCTGGTGCATCAATGCACGAAATTCAGTTTCAGTTTCCAAGTCTCGAAAGCGCAACTGAAAGTATTGGGCTAACGTGTATTTTGACATAAACTCCGAAAAATATGACAATTTTTTTCGCAATGGATATCTAATCCAAAATTTCAGCTAAGTATGTTAATAAAAATTCAGGTGGAAACCTACTCCGATAAATCTCAATTTTTGAAATATGGTGTAATATTTTAGGGGAACAGCATCAGAATTCCAATTCTGATAAGGACTGGCATTTCTTTATTATAAAATTAAGCGTTTGCAGAAGATTCTGTTATTCATGCTATATTTATCTTTTAGCATTTGTATGCTGACACGAATTAGTAAATTTTTATGTGAAGGTGATGAAGGCTTAATACTATCAGAATTCTAAGCATTAAGGAAGAAAATGTTTAAAACATAAGCACTGCAAGCCAGGTTCCAGCAATTAAAGGAAGATTTGATCTAGTTATTTTTATTTTATTATATTTTGTCATTTTTTTATTTAACAATAATGTAATTTTTGCTAGTTGTTTACATATCGTAACGTTAAATTTTTACAATTATTAAAATATGTCTGTTAATTTTAAACTGTTAATTTTCGTACAGTCTTTTACAGAGTACCATACGACTTTGGTATTTTCGGTTTTGGAAACTTTGCTTATAGATTGTATATCTTCATGTACCTACTCCTACGTCTTAAGCGGCAAGGATTATCTGCAAGGAGAAAACTAATTTTACTTCGCTTGACGCTAAAGCCCACATATCAGCGCTTTCAGCTTTTCACTCTATCCCAAAAGTTTATAGACTCTAGTAAATTACATGTTTAAGAAATAATAATGTATAAAATTAACCACTTAAAATATATTTATTTAAAACACAAGTGAATTGCATATGAGTATATATTTAACAAAAATATCAGTTTGTCTTTTAGAAAAAAATGGGTGTCTTAAAAGTTTATAGACAAGTTTAATTTTGTGCAAATTGGTTAATGACAATCATGATGGGGAACTTGAGCCCTTTAATGATATGATAACACCCTTACTCAAATCTCCAATTTAAAAAAGAAAAAATATAATTTGAACTGAATTTGAAAAAATATAATTTATAATAAGTATGGCTAAAGCTACGCAACTTTCCGATGCTGAAGTTAATAGGATTCTAAACCTTATTCCACGGTAAGTCCGTTAATAAAATTTTGAAACTTCTGAATCGAACTCAAAACATGTCCCTTAAGACGCCACTAGACAAAATCACGTTCAGGAAGACGCCGAGTGACATAGTCACAGCGATAAGAGAATAAAAAGAATGGTTTCGACTCAGAAAAAGTCGGTTCGCCAAATTACAAGGGCTTGTGGATTGCAAGTATCCAAAAACACTGTTAATAGGCGAATCAAGAAATCTTTTTATATGATTCACATAAAAATAGCTCGATCATTACCGCTCTCATAAACGAATGAGATAACGAATGAGATAGCTTCATAAACGAATGAGATAGCAATGGGCCAGTAACCACATGGCAGCTGGTGAAAAATGGATCACTGTAATATTCAGTGGTGGAAAAAAATGGGATCTAGATGATCCTGACGATTATTCATATTGCTGGAGCTATTTCAGTAGGAACAGTGGGAGTGGACCTGTTATGGTGTGGGCAGCTTTCGATTTCAACGGGCAAGTGGGTTTTCCCTTTCTTGATGGTCGGCAAGCTTCGTCTAAATGCATAGAAACATTAAGAGACCATCTTATACCATTTACAGAAAACACTGGAGGACAGAATTGGGTGTATCAGCATGACAATACTCCCTTCATACCTCTAATGCTACAAAAAATATTACTTAGGCGTGGAAAATATCACTGTTCTTGAGTGGCCGCAAATGAGCCCAGACTTTAACCCGATCGAGAATGTGTGGAGTATTATGTCTCGTAAAGTGTACGAGAATGGAAGGCAGATTTCTTTCGTGAATGCCTTAAAAGCAGCCATCGAAAGTGCATGGTATAATATGGAATCAGAATTATACAAAAAACTTAGTTCTTTCGACGGAGAAATGTGTATGATTTGTGACTGCATAATGCTTTGTGACTGCAAGAAGGAATTAGGAATATTTTTACTCCTGTGTATCATATTTTTGAATTAATTAATAAATTTTTGCTAAAAAAGCAACAAGAAAACTTGCTGAAAGTGAATAATTTTTCAGTCTGATAACGATCGGATAAACAGTTTTAATATATGCAATCTTATGTATTTACTCAACTTCTTATTTCTAATGATTTTTAGAATACATTTTTCAAGAAACAACTACTCTATAAACCAGACTCAGTACAACTCTATAAACAAGACAACTTGAATAACGACCTTTAAAGTTAAGTACATAAATTTAAAACTCTATTAACTGCTATGCATTGATTTTCTACTCATTTTTAGTTTTGAATAATTATTTCCTTTCTTGCTTCTTCAGGAAAAAGTTATTTAATTAATCTGAAGCTAAAAAATATAAAGATAAAAATATTCCTAATTTTTTTCTTGCGGTCTCGAATCGTTCGGGGAATATACTTTTAAAACTTTTAAAGCTTGAAAAACGTATATTTGCGACGTTATGATCTTGCGATTATTTGCAAGTGCACTTATTTTACAACGATACGACGATGACGACCTACGATGATGTTTTAAGACCGCTATGTTTTTTTACTAGGATGTTTCCTACCAAGATGTTTTAAAAACTGATGTTTTCCCTTGCTTTCTTTTCTCCCACGATGATATTTTGTACTACGACGTTATCGCCTTGCGCTGTTTTCTCGGCGAAGTTTTTGTTTGCGGTGTTTTCACCTGTAACCGATTTCTGCAAGTTCTGCACCTGAAACTACATGAAATTTTAATAATTTAAACTTTCCATCAAAATGTGTTCATAAAATAAATAAGATACTCCCGACAGCTTTCTTTCATGGTTCCAGATTTCTAATAGCGAGCAGTATATAAATAAGCCAGTTTCCTTTAGAAATGTCCTTCACAAAGGTATTCTATCCTTCTTTTCCGGTACTGATTAAACGAAACCTTTTGACCACAATTTATTAAAGCAGTTGCGAAAAAATTGTAGACATACAGAAGTAATTTCTTACGAATTTTTAATAATTTATTTCTCTATCTTGGTCACTAGACACTCATACGACGTTTCTTAGTCATTAGTCAATCATCTGACATAATTAACATATGATAATGTATTTTGTTCACATATAGAAACCTGCTGAAATATAAATACCAAATAAACATTTAAAAATTTTGCAATAATTTTAAATTTTAATTTATATTTCTTACCCTCGTTTTGAATTGTAGAACCTTGAGCGATTTGTGAGATATGGGACATATCTTCTAAAAAATGGAACATTTTATTAAGTCAGTTGCAAAACGTCGAATTTAATAGCTGAAAAATTAACTCAGTTTTATTGCAGAAAATAATCAAATGCGTTAAGGAAATATCAATCAAGATCTGCGATTCAGTTTTGCTCTGCCTGCATTGGAGACATATTTCAGGATTTCTCAACTAAAGTCAGTACTTTAAAAACACATGATCATTGAGAGGCATATACTTTGTCCCATGTCACTTTATTTCGCAGCAGTGACATTCATTCCAGGAAGACAGTCTTCAGCAGAGTTAATTTGTCTATCGAAATGAGATTCATCTTTGTTGTGATACCCCAGATTACAGTTGCTTTTGTTCATCTGAACAATTCGTGTCAATATCAAATTCCATTTCTTATACATATCCGTGATTAAAACCATAACTCGTTTTCAATATTCCTCGTTCGCTTTCATATTTCCCGTTCCACTACACATTCATTGTTTTACGAAAGTGATCAGATTTGCAATCTTGTATCACATCTTAAAGCTGTGACTATCAGTTATGTTATATACTATATAGTACTATATATACTATATATACTATATATACTATATAGTACTATATATACTATATATACTATATAGTTGTGTTACCTATATATACTATCAGCTGATACATCAGTAAAAGATGAAAATTTTCAGTAAAGAATGAAAAATAAATTACATGACTTTTAATGAGGTCGCGCATAAGTTTCAATTTTCATCTTTAACATTTCTGACGCAGATAATATCATTATAACCTTAAATTTCAATACACGTGCGTGTATATATCCGTCTCTCTTTCTATATGTATATAACGTATCATTTTTCCGATAATATTTTAAATTCAAAGTTTCATACGGCCTGCTTTGATTAATTTCTTCCTAGAGAGACAAATACTTTTTACAACTAAACTGCTAAATTTTAAAGTAAGTAAACACTTTTATCTTATAGCACGAGCAATTTAGATGCGTTTTAAATCAAGAGAGCTGCAATCTAGTCTCTTGCATTCGGAAAGGGACTCGTTTCTCGCTTAATGAATTGCTCCAGAGGTGACTTACAAGTCCTCTTTCCTCTCCAAAAAATTAACTAAAATTAATATATCACATACACTAAATATAAATGCGCCTCGTAATTAAATAACATAAAAAGCATGTTAAAAAATTTCGCAACTTACCAATGGAAAGATTTATTATTAAAGAACAAAGATTCTACAGCAAAATAAGAAGAATATTTGAAGTTTACAAAAATTTAGCTTAACATATGTAAGATACATAATCAAAAGCGTTACCTCTAATTTATAACACAGAAAATTTCGCAGATATTACAAAATATGTACTAGGAACAAAGTATTTTTAAAACTGAAAACAGACCTGGGAATTTAGCTTTGATCTCTTTGCCATGCTTGAAAGTTGACTCTTTTGGATGACCATATTGGCTATGAGGACTTTCAGCTTGAAAATCGAATAAACATTTCTCGTGAAATCAGATAAAGCAATGAATGATTTTTATGTATTCATATTAAGAAGGTTATCAAGCATTTAGGTACATGGGACAATAGTGGCATATTCTTTTAATTACACCATGTCATAAAAGAATCTTCTTACCCCTCATTTATGCTTTCATCTCAATGACTTTTAATAGAAAATAATTTTCAAAATTAATTTCCAAAATGACTGTTGAGAAAGCAAAAGTTCTGAAAATTTCATATTTAAAATAAAATCAAAATTTTCGGTAAACATTTGTACACCCGTTAGTCTTGCAATTTCAAATTAAGTCATTATCAGCCTATTTTTAAGGCTCTATTATGTACAATAATTTTAAAAACAATAGTTATGTTCATGGTTTAAGGATAGGGAAATAAAGCGCGACGTAGTTTGTATTGGAATTATGAGAGCAAAATTTTTATTTCGTAGTAGATCATATATTGCTTTTAGCCACGTTCACATGCAAGCATATTAAGTTAATATTGAGATAACCTTTTGAAATGCTAGCGTGAATGAAGCGGAAATCTATTTTACCTTTACGAAAGGCTGTTTAAAGTTAGTAAAGTCAAAGTTAAGTAAAATAAGTTATACAATCGATTTCTTCTGTATGTTTTGAGTGAAATCTAGCGTTTTCCCCGCAAGTTTCGGAAGTCTATATTACAGAGTATTATACCACTTGCTAGACGAAGTTACATCGATATTTTGTTTATTTTGTACTTTGTTCAACAAAATTTGTCACAAAATAAAAACCGATTTGACTTCGGTTTTTATTTTGTGACAAAACTTCTTGTAATTGTCATTTCAATATTTACGTTTTTATTTAATTAATATTTCTACAACTTTACAGCCTAAGAACTAAATTTTATGCAACTAGAATAGGCTGGGAAACATACGTTTGTGTAATAACGTAATACATACATTAAAAGTATGTAAGATACGCAAAAAGAAGAGGCAATTCTTGTCGGACGAGCAACGAAATTTAGTAGCATATTTCCTGTGTAGAAAGCGGGATCTAAGTATATTGACATAAAAGCTGACATTTTCTGAAATAACATGTCGATTTTGTTTTTACATTCTCAATTCTAAATCTAAAATTAAGTTGCAATAATTTCGAAAAATCGCGGCAAGAGTGCATTTTAAAAGTAACAGCCAAACTTTTAGTTGCATAATGTTCATTTAACTTGGTTTACATTTGATAACACTGCTTTTTCGAACAGAAGCTTCTCTTTTTTTTTACATAACTATAATTTCTACCTAATCCAAACAAAATACAATCTTCTGATTCTTGTTAAAGTTTTTGTTTTAAGAAAAATTATATATTTTTCAAAAAAAAATTGAATTAATAACTTATGAAAATTTTCCGTAGCCTCTTAAGATAAATATTTTTAGAAAATTTTCCACTGGAAAAAAAAAAAAAAAAAAAAAAAAAAAAAAAGACACTAAAACATTTTAAACAATGAGAACATTATTTCGTTCGAACTTGTAAAACGTCGGTTTCGTTCATTTGCCAAGTAAAAGGGGAGATATATTATCCTCCCCTTTTTTTATTTCTTAGTATTCAATAGACTTAAATTAAATAGAAAATTTAAAATTATACATATAAAAATGGACAATTAAATTAACGTCAAAATTATAAATATTGATAACATTCATATCTTTGAATCTTACCTACGATGAATTCTTCATATAGAGTTTGTATAAAGTCTGAGACATGTCCACTAGTTTCAGAATAATCTTAGAATAAAAATATTTTTATAATTAGAGATAAATAGGTACAAATCACTATACAATAATGAATTATTTAAAAAAAGAATATTCAATACACGTTTTTTAAAGGAAATGCGGTGCCTGTCTAAATCCCTGACCGAATTATTTTTTCAGGTGGTATTTCAAGTCTTTTTCTTCACTTCATCGAAATTTAATGGATAGGAAGAAAAAAAATATATGCAAACTTAAATCATCACAAATGTTTGCTAATAAGTAAATAAGGAAAAAAATTAATTAAAATGCAAGTTTGATGTGTTGTTAATTAAAAAGATATAATATGTTGAGTGACTTTCCTATGATAGTTAGATTGTGAGAGAATTCATCACGTACAGAATTTCATGCACCAGAAAATGGGCGTAATAGAGCTGAACTTCGATTATTCGAATTGGTTGGGACAAACTCAGGCAATATATTTGTTCCAATAATAAATTTTGACATTTAAAATTATTTGAGGTAAACAAATACTGCATTATCTGAATATAAATTCATTTTGAATTTTCAAGTGCCTTATTTCGACTTTAAATTATAATTTTATTGAAACAGGGGGATGGGAAACGTATTTTATAAAACATATGTTAACTTTCACTGATTTGTCTTCCAACTCCTTTTGAGTAACTCTTTCTCAGCAACCCTGACTAGTATGGCCGTATATATGCCTGTAGCAAAAAACATCGGTGTGGCCTATGCAAGCATATTTGCGTCTGGCACAAGCCATCTGTGTAGGCTACGGACGCAAATGCGCGCTCGGCGAAAGCTCTTTACTGCTGTCTCATGTGTATGTTCGGAAATTATTTCTATCGTACATCTTCAACTCTCGCAGAAACCTCACACCTTATTCGTTGCTTAGTAAAGAGGAAAAAAATGAAATCTTGTTTATTTGGTCAGTCATTCTGCGGCCGGTCACGCGAAACGTTTCAACTCAGTTAGCAGTCAAAGGGTTTAGTCTGGAGACAAACCAGCTGCATACTTCGATTCTCATCTACTTAGGCCCAGTTAGTTACAAGCATCTGAAACATTATAGATTTTCCAGGAATTTTGATTCAGTCCCGCACTTACATTTGATGACTCGGTATCTGCTGATTATCCTAGCTAATTAAAGAAAAATATTTTATAAATTACAAAACGCATGCTAAGCAAGAATGCACATTAGTATACATTGAAATAAAGCAGCAGAGACACGACCAGTTTTGTATTTCTAAGGCATAATTTCTAAGTCTTTCTAAGGCATCATTTCTAAGCACAAATACGCATGAACTGCTTCGGATAATTCCAAGGGAAAAGAATAATTATTCTATTATTCCTTCGAACTGGACATGATAGTGTACAGAAAAATCAATTATTATTACTTCTCTCTTGAGGATAAGGTTGAAATAACAGAACCATTTATTTTCGTACCTCCGGCAGACAGAATTGAACAGACAAAAAAAAAAAGAGATAGAAACAGTTACAAATACATACAATAACAGACACGAAGATAGATAAAGGGGGGAGAAGGAAAGGTAGGGTTGTGAATTCAGAATTTTGTTTGATTGTTTATTCGAATACGACAAAACACACGAGCGCCGATTCACCGGATTTGAGCTCAGGTCGAACCACTAGCATTCAGCGGTCTTTTCCGCTAGGCTTCTCATGTTCTGAAATAATCATCATGAGAACGGAAAGGTACACAAGGAAGAAGTCATCGATAAATAGCCAAAGGATTTGGATCGTCACAACTGAAGATCGCTTCCAGTCGTTTCTCTACAGCTTCATCAATGTATAGGATGCTAAAATTCCCTTTTCCAATTCAGAATCCTTTGCAACCGGTTATAAAGACACACAATAAGCAAACTAGGAACATAAGGTATTTAGACCACCAGGAAGAGAAACAGAAGAAATAAAAACGGTTTAAAAGCGTTTTTTTAGCCAAAAATTTCAAAATAGAAACCACTATAACTCAGCACAAAACATGGCGCTCTAAGACAGATGTGAACCCTAAGTTTGCAGACAGTATTAAGTATACACCCTCCTTAAACATCTATAACATGTTGGAAGCGCAAGACAGCGTGATCGGGAGTCGCACGAGGCGATAGCCTGAATGTTTCCTTGGGGAGGATGGTATACGATACTTTGGGAATCCCCTCAGCTAGAAGTCTCACGGGTTTCAGCTTGTAAAGCGAGGGAACCATACTTCTGAGAAACTTTATGAATCACACGAACATCGCCAAACTTCATGGGAAGCAATTCTTTTACTTGTCGGCAAATACGAAATGCAATTCAATCTTGCATTTAAACTGTAGTTTCGACACATCCTCATTTCTATAAAGCACAAATCGCATGGTCGAAAAGCACTTGACAATAATATGCATTTTTAACGGAAGATCTAATAGGAACTTTAGGTCTTAGTTCTTAAAAGAAACAATATTAGAATCTTCATAATAAAATCGGCGTAAATCTGCACCACACAGGTCCCGTTAACAAAATAAGATTTTCATGAACCACATTGGAACACAAGACTTCTCATATGAGACAGTTCAGGAATTTTACTGTTATTTCTAAGTAAAAACGTACCTTTATCTGTTCATAAAATGTTCCACGAATACATTTCGTCAACAATCATTCTCGCGAGAATTCGGTAAGCAAAATCTGCCAGCTGCTGGGCTTCTTGTGGATTCGACTCTTGCACCATGTGGATTTAGTAGGGAAACCATTGCAGAATGGGTCTCCGCAACTTTCCCATTATAGAGCTGGGAATTCACACTTCACATATCACTGCTCGATAAGTTGTGGGTCAGTACTGAAAACAGAGAAATCTGTCAGCAGACGCAACAGACACTTTTTTTCCCCAAAACTTCGACCGAAATGGATTGATTATTCTTCCTGTTACAGCGTGCAAATTTCTAGTGTCTTCAAATTTCTTCATAATTTTTCTTAAACTAGGTTGAACAACAATAGTTCAATCAACGAAGGGTTCGCCAAAGAAAGAAAAGTATGAATTTTTTTTCTCTCTATATGTTTCTATATGTTTTTTGTAGTGCTGAAATCGAATTTTAAGCTTGCCACTTCGTTAGAGGTCGGCCTTTCCAACGGAAAGCGAAAAACTTTAAAATTTTGGCACTTTTTTCAGTTTGTCGCTTATAATTCGAAAAATAGGTATTTTTCGAAGATGAAGACTCTGCACAAAATTAAGTAGACAAAATTTCCTACAAAATGCTTATATATAGTTTAATGTTCGAGGAATCTGAGGCGCAGCTAAAATGCGCTGAAAAAAGGCCACTTTTTGGCTTTCCGTGAGAAACGGGGGGGGGGGGAAACCCTCTTTTTAACTGTGCAGTGGTGCCCTAATTTCAAAGTCTGAAAATAATTACGTTACGAGTACCTGGTATGCTTACATCATATTAATGGAATTAACGAATGTCAGTAACATTCGTACTCGGCGGACCCTCTAGTTTATGGGAAATCGCTCTATTACACTCCGTACTACATCTGCAAATGGTAAATATAACTAATGAATGTTTTGAGCTAAATTACGGTACAGTTGAATAATTTTGCCCTCTGAATTGTCAAACGTAAATGAGTTGCCATGTCAGTGGTCATTTTTTATCTTGTACGTTTGTACCATGTTGCAGGGTACAATTTGTCATGTATAGTTAATAGGGGTGTACTGATGAAGGAAAATATATTTAAAACAGAATTTTATTCATAAATTTCTTAGATCAAAGTAACTAAAGGTCTTCAATCGATATAAAATATTATGTCACGCTGGTTTCCGACATTTCCGGGATTATCCTCGTCTGGAAAAGAAAGAACTGGAACTTCAGATAACTATTACTTACAAAACGTCAGTTTCAGCAGTGAAGTCCTATGATAAGGAGAAGTAAAATACAGAATGCGCTGTGTGATGTGTATGAAGTTAATACCTGAATAAGGCTCAGGAGTGCTTCCTCGTTTTTCCTCCGGTTGGACTAGGCTGGTCATCATGAGGGTTGGTATATCATCTTTTAGTCTTAGGGGTATTGTGTTGATGGAGTTCCCATCAATAGTTCCCACACTAAAGTCTGTGTTATTATACACCAGTTGATAAAGTGTTCGTTGAATAAAAATCAGAGATGGATGGAATATGGAGGAACATATGGCTTCTGTGTATAATGAGTAAAATCCTAATGAACTCAGCATATCAAGTAATCTGCCCGTTCTGTACTTTATGTACGAAGCAAAGTCGGCTATTGCAAGTGATTTCTTCCTCCATTTATCAGTCTTCTGTTTATTCTTGCTCATCACTAAAGCATCTGTGAAAGCTTGAAGAGATCGTAGAATGAGATCCTCAGTCTATCTGCTGGAGGGTACCGTGTCATACACTTAAGATCAAGCATCTTTAATGAATATAGTAGCTGCTGTTCCAACAATATTTAGCCTCTCCTTGTCCTCTAACAGCCTTTCTTAACACAATGAATCAGTAATAACCTAATGAACCTTGAAACACACAGTATAAGGCATATTAGCTCTTAACAATCGCCATACTTCTCAAGAAGACTTGTTTTTACTGTTTTTGGACTGAGGACGAGTCCCCTACAGTCTTATTCATCAGTTTGTCAGCAGTAAATTGACATTCCTCTATGCCATTTTCAAGAAACGTCAAAATTGATTGCACTGTTGCTTCCACATCATATTTAGGTCTGCTAATTTCTGGTTTTCCTCATCTGTGTAGTAGCTGACATAGAGGTTTCGTTCAAAAGAAATGGTATTGTGCATCAGTAGCCGGCAAATCACGCACTGACTCTGTACGATGCACAGTGAAACGTCCATAGTCATTTCGATCCTTCGGCAGCCTTAATACGTTTTCTGTTGCATTAATTTCTTCACGGGGTACACAAGATTGCGTTTATCTGGTTGCTTTTTAATATGTTCTTCGAGTAATCTGAGTAACAGTAGTCATCTGAGTAAACACTAGGTTTTGAATTTGAACTCGGATATACTTGAACGTAATGTAGGCGCATTGGTATTCTCTTTATTTCTCTTAACAAACGCAGCAATAAATTTTTCGTTTCTATGTTTTCGTCAACCTCAACTTGTGTACACCTTTTAAACAAAACTACCTTTCCACCCTATCGAGTTTTAGTTGTTTAATGAAATATTTCAACACCTTTGGTTTCACTACAGCAGCCTCAGTTCGATCATATAACGATTCGTCACATATACTGCTCAACCGAGATTATTATGCGTACATAATAACTGTAAAGGGCTTGTAATATTTAACCACATGCGATTGCAGCCGGACACCAACTGCATCGTTGGTTGCAAGCAAACGGTTTCACAACCGTTTGCTCAGACTATTATTATTTACAAGCAGGTGGTTTTGCGACGCTGCGCAGGATCGACGCTAAAAAAGTATTCGGCTAATCCACACTTACAGTAACACGTTTTTTGCGTTTTTCACGGAAAGCCAAAAAGGGGCCTTCAGCGCGTTCTAGCGGCGTCGCAAATTGTCCAAACATTAAACTTTATATATGGATTTTGCAGCAAATTTTGTCTACTTTAATTTTGTATGGGGGTGGTCATATTCAAAAAATGTTTAGTTAGAGTTATAAGCGAAAACCTGCAAAACGCGACCAAATTTTGAGGTTTTTTTCGATTTTCGTTGTGAAAAACGGTCTCGGTGAGGTGGCAAACCTAAATTTTGGATTCAGCACCCACTCAAAAAATATAGAAACGGTGAGCAAAAAAAAAAAAAAAACTTCTATACTTTTTTCCTGAAACATACTTTTTGAGCCTTCGATGACCTGACAACACTCTTTTCGGAATAATATTAAAGACAATATCCTTGCAATGCAACTGCTGCTGTTAGCAGAAAGTAGCTTGACGAGCACAGCGTTCCCAAAAGCTCTGCTGGTTAAAATGGATTAATTTTTCTAGTACCGATACCTCGTTTATTATACAGAAGAGTATTTTCATATTTGTATAGAAGTAGGATATTACACTGGTGTGCGAAACTTAAGCAACAATGCAAATTTTAATCAGATAACCATACAGTTGTAGAAAAGGGGTCCTTGCTATCGGTACAATGAACACGCAATTCAGTAGAAAGGTCATGCATATGCAAATGTCCGGAACGTCACAGTCTACGTGATCGTGCGCTCCACTCAAGACTACCATAAAAGGAAGGGCGAAGACGCAATTAAAGACATTCGCTGCAAGTACAAGTGAAATCTTGCGTGAAATATGGCTAGAAAAACTCATCTGGATGACTCCACGAGTGGAAGAATGATCGGAAAGCTGGACGAGGGGCGTAGTGTGACCAGTGGTGGCTGAAGATTTAGAAGTCAACGAAGTGTCGTTTCGAGGGCTTGGAAAGCCTTTTAAACCATAGGTACAGCTATTAGAAAGGTTGGTGGTGGCCGCTCCAGGACAACAACTGCAGCAGATAACCGATTATCGTCCTACAGGCGAAAAGAGCCCAAAACCAGTCAGCAAGCTCCACAGCTCAGCAACTGTGTACAGCAACCGGCGACAATTGTCGTGGTTTACTGTATCCAAATACCTTCACAAAGATGACCTATTCGCCCACCGTCCTGACCACTGCATCCCTTTGAAAGTTCGCCATCGTCGCCACCGTTTAGAGTGATGCAAGGAGCGCAAAAGCTAGGCATCTCATCAATGGAGTCGTGTCCTCCTTACGGACGAGAGTCGTTTTAGTGCCCCAAGCGATTCTCAACGCCAAAGTATTTGGAGAGAGGTAAGGAACGGTTTAAAATCTCATAACATCACGGAAAGAGACCATTACGGTGTCCTGGAGATCTCGTCTGGGGAGGCATTATGCTGAACGGGCGGACAGAGCTCCACGTTTTCGACAGAAGTTCTGTAACCGGAGATTGCTATTGTCAGGAGGTGATCCTTCCCTATATGCGTCTGTTCCGAGGTGCAATTGGACCAGACTTCGTTTTTAGGGATGACAATGACCGGCCACACTGGACTCCTGCTGTTCAAAAGCTACTGAAAAGGGAAGATATCACTCGAACAGATTGGCCAGCGAACTTCCCTGATTTGAATCCCATAGAACATATGTGGGATGCTTTGGGGAGACGCCTTGAAGCACGATTACATCATCCGGCGAACATCCAACAACTGAAACAGATGCTGATTGAGGAATGGGCACTCTCACCTCAAGATCTGTTGGACAATCTGGTGATAAGTATGGGAAGACGGTGAGAAGCAACCATTGCAGTAAGGGAGGGCATATCCCATACTAAGGAACATCTGCTTGTTGTTGTTCTTCTTATACAGACAATCATGTGTAACGATACTATGAGTTCAATAAAGCCTGTTTTTGTTCCATACTGTATGCATTGTATTCATTTTTGCGCAATTAAGCTTTCGTCGTCGTTTAAATACAAAATGCTGTCTCTTATTTCTGAATTTCATGTCTCTCAGATGATATCTCGTGGATTTAATTCAAAAAGAACACCTGTTGCTTATTTTTTGCACACCAGTGTAGAATCTATTTCGAGGAATTTTGCTTTCGTTAAAAAGCGCTACCAAGTGATGAAAATTGCATTATTATTTATTTTTTTTTTCATATTTATTTTCCTATTTTCTAAAAAGTTTCTTCCAAGTTTCATTACTGCATGTTCATTAGAAAGTGCAGCAAATTACTCTGAATAGAGAAACTAAAAATATAACCATCTTTTATGTCTAAATAAGTTTTACCTAATTCAAATAAACAATGTTCAGCTAATTGTCGTTCAGACAACCAAGATTTACATCTAACTGATGTAAAAATTATAGGAAAAAGCAAAGCAATGGACAGTACTATTTTAAAATAGTTTAGTTATATCTTCTAATTCCCCTAAAGTCTTATTTCATAGTTTTTCCTTTTTTTATGTAAAAACTTATTTAGCAATTCTATATTCTAATTAGTATCAACTGAAATAAATATTGAGATTTGAAGCTAGGGTTAAAAAAGGTTCAGATTAAAATGCTTAAAACGATATTCATGATTTTGATCTATTTAAATCAGGCTGAAAATACATTTGAAAAATACTTTGATTTAGCTCACGCATTTCTTAGATCAAAGGTAAAAAATCAAGTAACTTTAAAATTTAAAGAAAATAAATAAACTAGGGAAGGAAAAGACTCATTTACCTTCAGATCTTAGGGTTTCAATTTCATCACAGGAAGTCCGTTCATCATTATTTTCAGTTTCATCTAAGGGTAAACAATGAAGAAAGGGATGTGAAACGAAATGCAAGATTCTCAGAGAAACTTTGAATTCATTAACAAGATATCAGGTTTAATGTTTTAAGTTAACTCATGAACAGGTTTGTCATTTACATATTATGTACTTTAAAAATTCAATCATTCAGCCTGTTATTTGCATACTTTGTTCTATCCCATCACTATTCAAACTCGAGGTTTGAATAGGAATTTATTTTTTCAGTTTTATTTATTTTAATTATAGCAACTTCAAATGTGGTGAAACTATACAGTGCAACTAATTTTTGCATTAACGAAATCGTACTAAAAGTTTCATTAGAATTTGAAAATTTTTATTTTAATTTTAAGAACTGACATAGTTTCCGAGTTTTACAGCGAAAGTTATATTTTCACGTCATAATTTTCATTATTCTTAAACGATAATTAAAACTTTCACTTCCAAAATTTTATAGCTTTTTCTTCGTGTGCTTTGAAAATGCATATAATACAAGACTGCAATCCTTATACAAAATTTTTATTCTTCTAATAACCACATACACAGCGAATCATGCTTGTTGCATCTGAAATAGAATTTAATAAGCTGGACTTGCTATCTTTCGAACTAAACTATTCAGGCGAAGGTTCCCAGTTTGTAGATTAAATGAAGTAATCAAAGTTTAACACTTTTAAAGTGAAATTTTCAATAATTTGAAAGTAGTTTAAATTGAATTAATTACTGCAGAGCAAACCAGAACTTATTGAATTTAAAAATGAGATAAAGAAGAAACAAGAATTGTGCATTTCAAGAATACAGAACAACATCACGCTTCATCAAAGGCAAAAGTAATTTGTGGGTATACTGAAATTAGCTATTTCAAGTGAGAGGTTTATACATCGGAAAACTTACAGAACAGATGAAATTAACTAAAAAATAAGTTTAAAAACAGAAGCTAAAAAATAGTAGAGGACATTGTAGTTATGTTAACCAATGCATCGACGTCTGTCGCAGAATGCGTTCCAAGTAGCCTATAAATGCGACATTATTTCAGAATAATTCTTCAATGCGGCTTCATATTTCGAGTTATAGTTCGACCGTCTCAAGCGCAATCCTGGTTGGCAGGCATTCTGTCAAAACACATAGACTCGTTCAAAAGGGGCGGTATTATTTGCTGTAAGGTAAAAAATCTTCTCTTCTCCGGGCGCCCACCAGCAGCCGAGCGGTAAAGTCGCTGAACACTGGTAGTTCGGTCCGAGGTTCGAATCCCGCGAACGGGCTGGCTGCATGGGCGTTTTCGTGGTTTCCCCATGTGTAACGTGTAATAGAGCCAGTTTCCTTAAAGTCCTCCACGAAGGCATCCCTCTCCTTAGGCAGATAGCCCTCAAAGCTTTGCCATAATTACACACACACACTTCTCTTCTTCGGAAAGAGCTATGCTGGAAGGAAAGAAAGTCCCCATCCTTCCACCCTATTTTGAGAATAATTCGGTCCGAATGGCGCATGCGTGTTTGCGCTCATGGTCGCGGATGAGGCGGTCGAACTATACCTGGTTTTGAACGTGACGCAATAGTCTGGGCGAAACCATAGGCGTGAAATATCAAAGATAGTGCACGGATTCTATTTTCTCACGTCTTTGCTGTCAGAATTATTGAATTATGTTTGCCCATATAACAACGCTCTTCGTTAATGCCCATTGGCATCTGTTCAGCTGTTACACTACTAACGACATACAGGACTACATTGCTAAAGTGTGCAGATCGACGTAGTCAGGACAACTATCTGTGCGTTAGGTGCATGAAAGCGCAGATTAGCGAGCTCGACCATGTCAAAGAGCAAATGGAGAATTCACTGACACAGAAGGCAAACTTTACACATTCTTGCATAGTCTTGTTGATATGTTGAAAGTGTTTAATGAACAAATTAATCATGAAAAAGGAAACACTAATACCTTAGTGGATATTAGAAATACGAGTCAAACTTTAGAGGATAATGATAGGGGCAGAAGCCCAATCAAGATTAATGATTTCTCACACCTAAACTCAGATAATGAAAAAACGCTTGATCAAGAAACTAGTTCAGAAGACGAAACACAAAACAGGCGTAGAGGAGATCAAACTGTAAGGACTAGAAATCACAGAGTGCAGTATAAAAAGCAAAAGATAAGTGATAGTCAAGTTAAAACGTCCAATGTCACCACTGCTTCAGATAAAAATGCACAATCAAGCACAGGTAGCTCAGTTACTAAAATCACAGAGCAAATTAACAAAACTCATATAGATAATCAAGATATGGACACAAATGATGCAGATAGTGTTCAAAATGACACTTCAAATATTTCTAAAACCTCAAATAATAGTGTAAATTCATCTCGTACTAAAATCCCACCCATTTCTCTCAGGGAGACTGATTTGAACTGGGGAGAAATTAGTAAAGTTTTTCACAGAAATAAATTTAAATTTTTTGGTCGACAAAATCCAGATGGAATTAAAGTTATTGCATAATCCCCCGATGATTACAGGGGTATGGTAAAAATCTTAAATGATCTAGGAGTTGAACATCACTCATTTAAACTGCCAGAAGAGCGCAACTTAAAAGTTGTAGGGAGAGGATTAACTTACAGAACTCCAATTGAGGATATTAAAAGAGATCTTGTAGAATTACACTACAGAGTAGAGGATGTTAAACAGATGACCCGCCGCAGGGAGGGTATTGTCACAAAACTACCTCTGTTCATTATCACGTTTGCCTAAGTCGGAAGACTCAAAGAAGATTTATCATGAGCAATTTCTTTGTGATATGAAAATTAAAATCCAAGAGTATAAAGGACGTCAGGGGCCCTTGCAGTGCTTCCGATGTCAAGGTTTTAATCATACTCAGGAAGGCTGCAAGTATCCTCCAAAATGTGTCCGATGTGCTAAGGATCATTTCTCTTCGAGATTGTCCTGATAAAGGAAAACCAGATGTACCATTATGCTGCGTAAACTGCGGAAAAGAACACACACCTCAAGTTTTCGCGGATGCGAAAGGTTCCCTAAACCAAAAATAGTCAAGGAGAAAGTTTTCAGCAACAGAGTTGTAGAAAATAAATCTTATGCTAAGGCTCTCTCAGCTGGAATCTATCAAGAACAACTCACCGAGGCTAAAAAAGTCTTCGCTGATCTGGCGGAATTGGTGACCGTCATCAAAAGCGCAGGCTTCCAACTTACTCAACAGGTCAAACAGTTATCGCAAATAAGTCAAGAGAACATTCCCTCCAAATCTTCTAACAATGGGGAAAAATAGGAATTTAAAAGCGCCTTTAAACGTGATGATATGGAATGCTTGTAGCATTCATGGAAAATTATTGGAACTCACCGATTTTATTCAAAACAATGATGTTGACATTGCTATGGTAACAGAGACACACATGCAAATCCTGGTATTAGTATTAACATAATGAATTTCAGATGCTATCGCACAAATAGACTCAGTCACCGTGGTGGGGGGGGTAGCGATATACGTAAAGAACTCTCTCCAATCATGCATGATTAAGCAGTACAGAAATAATGGACAAGAGTATGTCACTGTCTCCGTGTTTCTTCCAGGTTATGGAAACACTTATTTCACAGCCTTCTATAACCCACCCAGATACCCTTTAGAAGCTGAATTATTAAAGGACATCTTATTCACAAATCTTCCTGTTATATTAGCAGGTGATTTTAATGCGAAACATGAGGAATGGAACTGTCGTAAAACAAACCCAAATGGAGAACAACTCTTTGAATTTATAAACAACGAACCTGTTTATTTCTTTGCGCCTGAGGAATACACTTATCTTGCACACGACCCGAACAGAGGGGACATTCTTGATCTACTACTTACCTTACCTCCGCTTCAATTCCAGTATATCTTGAAGTTGTTAATGATCTAAGCTTGGATCATTTACCTGTAATGGCCACGCTTGGAATCCTAAAAGACAAAATGACGCAGGAGAAAAATATTACAGACTGGAAGCAATATAATCTGATCTTAAGTAACAGTACCTTCCTGAACACAGCTTTAAGAACCAAGCAGGACATAGACTTAGCTGTGGCACCTGTTTACTAACAGTATCATTAATGCAGTCAATACTGCCACCAAGAACATTCCCATTAAAACAGATACATCTGGAAGACTTCCCCCCCCCCCCCCACATCAAAGATAAAATCAGAGAAAGAAATAGATTAAGGAAAGCCTGGAATCGAACATGGAACCCGAGTACTAAAACGGAAATTAATAGACTGAATCGTGACATCAAGCAATCAATTCTTCAAACTCAGAAATGACCTTTGGGACGAGAAAATCATGAATTTTAATGAACCAGACAATGCGTTTCTGGTCATTTGTCAGAAATCTAAAAGGAAAGGCTGTAGCGAACAAACCACTTCACTTCAATAATAGCGTGGCTCTCACTAATAAAGAAAAAGCAAACGCCTTTGCAGAACATTTTGAAAATCAGTTTAAACCGAATGAGAGTCCTTGTGACATAGACTTCGCTTATGATGTAAGATACTGCATTAATGACTGGTTTACCTTCACAGGAGGACTTAGAAGACAATCTGGAACTCACCTCTCCACATGAAATCCAAGAAATCATAAGGAAACTAAAAAACAGGAAGGCACCGGGCTATGATGCAATAACCAACCTAGCGATCAAGAACTTACCGAAAAATTGTATTGCAAGGTATGCCAGTATTTTAAATGCTTGCTTAGCTATCAGATACTTTCCGCTTGCCTGGAAAAGAGCCAAAATGATTGCTTTACCTAAAGCCGGCAAGGTTACCACTCGCACACAGGGATTTAGACCTATTAGTTTGCTTCCCGTTTTGGGGAAAATTTTTGAACGCATCATTTATCATAGAATCCATCCATACTTAGAGAAACTACCAGAAGAACAGTTTGGTTTCCGGAAAACGCTTTCCACCACGAAACAATTGGTCAGACTTTCTGAGTTCACCGGCAGTACGTTACGTAACAGACAAAATGTTGCTTT